GTTGATGTCTTCCCTGAATACTTTTAACACCGTATGTAAACCTGCTGTTATACAAACACATAATATAAAGCCCTTGTCTGTTAACGGTTTTCCTTGTGGATCAGCCCAATACAGAGTCTGTAAACAAATTAAATTCCATCTGATGATAATGGCAAAATGCCTTCAATAAAAACAGCCATTTCATTTCATTTCATTTGTATTTTATAATTCCACTGGAAAACATGAGTATTTACACATAAACTAATGAACTGTAATGATTCCGCTGACTATATTTCAAATTCCGTTATTTTCCCTTATGATTAATTTTGCAATTACTTTATCACTCCCTCATAAAGTATTCTAAAACCAACATTTAATACAGCTTTATATTAGTCACTGCTGGTTTTTTGGTTGGTTTATGTTAATGTCATTGAATGCCAATTCAACAGTGTAATAGCACTCAACCCTATTAACTTAATTATAGCCCCAGTCCTGTTCCCACTGCAATTCTGCCACTGCCTCCAAGAGGAGCAGGATCCAACTCCAGATTTAAGAGTTAATATGGCTGTTTTCTACAACTTAGAGAACTGAAACAAGAAATGTTATATATTAAAATTCATGAGATGTTAATTTCTCCATGTTCTTAAAAATATTTAAACTCTCATAGATTCATAGATTCCAGGGTCGGAAGGGACCTCAGTGGGCCATCTAATCCGACCCCCTGCCCCTGGCAGGCGAGAAAAGGGTCACGAAACCTGGGATCATGTGATCTCAGGCAGTCTCAAGATACTATTTTAAGAGCATGATCCTGCAGCACTTAAATATTTGTATAATACACTTCAAATCAACATAAGTGTTGAAGGACTGCACTATAATTCTGCCTCTCTTTGTCCCTTCTAGTTTAATTAAATAGGTCAATTCCAACTTCGAATATACATACGTGGCATCTACATGCACATGGATGTCTCCAAAGCTGAAATATGACCCATATTATTTTACCAACTAAAACCCACGTTCCTTTTCACAGAATGATTTTATATTTATCTACAATAATTTACATTTTATCCAGACTCAAAAATCTTCAAAATATTTTGTACAATGTTGTTTTAACATAGGTAATTATTTAATTTTATTCCCATAACATTCTAGTGGTGATGTACTGGACTAAATGAAATACAGTTTGAAGATACAATGTGATTGAACAATCAAGTAACTTTCTAAAATCAAAAATCTACAACTCTTAAGGTCCTCTAAGAAGCAAAACAATTGCAAGATCTTGATTTTTAATATATCTAAAGAAAGAACCATTTTGTCACTTTGACTTTTTGGCATTTATTTAAATTAACATGAAACAACCAGCAACCCCTCACCCAAAATTTTCTGTTTTATGTAGTTATCATTAGCTATGTTATCTGCAGTATTCTGTCACAGGATAACTTAAAAGTCCATCTACGTTATTCTAAAGTCCTTTCCTATACTAGAAGATCTGGCGCAGAACTCATAGGACCCAATCCAGAAGCCGTTCTGTTCTTAAAACTTCCAGGCTAGGGACAGAAATTACAGGTAAACTGGAATAGGTAATCCAAAATGAGTTTAAATTTGTAACAAAACAGAAGTTCAGTGCAATAAACCACTTTCAAAATGGCTGAAACTGGTTTAAGATAAACTTGGATGTAGTATCAGACTTAACTGATTTAGGTTAAATCAGTTTATTGAACTTGTGTCCCAGATCCTCTCCAGATTCAAATTAGCTCAGAGTCCTCTAGCATCCCAGAATGTTTTGCCCTTCCCTTGCAAACCCCCTTGCACAGGGTGGGTGGGCTAGCTTTGACCCAAACTGTCTGCTGCAGCCAACTAGGGAGGTGTGCTCTAGTGCCCCCCAGCTTTTGGCTTGGGCCACTACAGGCATATGTCTGCATTTCTGGAATCAAAAGTGAATATCTATTCACTTGCTTAATGGTTCAATCTATGGTTCAATCTAGGCAGTTTAGACTAACCTGAGAAGACTGAATCATTTCAGCCTTTGGCTTTTTGACTGTACTTAGACATAGAGAACTTAGAATATTTCATCTTCAAAGTGCTTTTAGAAACATTTTCTGACTAAACGAGCTCAATACCCAAATGAGGTGGAGAAATGTTATCCCGATTTTACAGAATGAAAAGCTAAGGCTGAGATTTTGAAAGGGAGCATGTAGCTAAGGTAAGCAGGTGAGTCTGAGGAACGGAACACCCTTCTACCAGTTGGGAGTTATTCTGCAGCTACTCCTGTATAATCCAGACTGTGGCTGTCCCAATCACGGTCTGTGGGCGGCATCCAACCTATACAGGGTTAATGTGCAGCCCCATGAGTTTCTGCCTGGGTGCACCTCCCTGCAACACTCAGGCTGTTGCTGCCACTGGCATCTCCGAACTCCACCTCCCTCTTCCAGCATCTGCTTTCTGCCCCTGGCTGCTGCAAAGCTGGACAGTAGACAAAGGTAGCACCATGAATTTCTGCTCTGCTGAAATCAATGCAGCACTGATAATTTACCAGCTGAAGACCTAAATATCTAAGATCTAACCTGAACCCTACTGAAATAACTGAAAGTACTCCTACATTAGATTCGGACCCTACAATAAAATTCTGTTCCACTAGGGTCCATGAGAGTTTTAACACTGATTTAACTGAAGTCAGGATGTCACCTTTAATACAAATCAGCAGACATACATACAGTTCAGATACAGTTGCTGTTTGGCCTTTCTGGTGCCATACAGGTACAGACTTTTGTATTGTGACATAAAGCTTACCCAAGATTAAAGAGGGTAGAGGTGTTAAAATTAGAATTAAATTCTGCAATATTACCATCACTATTTTTTTTATCATCATAGCACCTAGGTATTCTACTTACAGATCCCTCCTACCTTGCGCTAAGCACAGAAGAAACATAGAACTACTGGACTTGTGCTAAGAACACACCCTTCTCACAAGTTAATGTGCATTCAGGACCAACCTATAATTAAATTATGGGGTCAGTGTAACAGTTAAATTGTAGGTCAGCGTGACACAGTATTTTCTTACAGGATGAAACACTTTGGATAAACCTTTATTGTCTTACTTTGTAAAAGGTTTTTTAAAACTGTACCCAGTATACTTAATGTGAACTTAAGATAATTATGAATGTATTAGGACCCTTTCTGCAGATATACAAATATAAGCTTATCAAGCCCCCTGGAATGTTATAGCATTCTATACTGTCCAGCTCCAAGCCATAACTGGAGGCCGATGGCCTACATAATTTTTATGAAAGGCATTCATTGTTATGAAAAAGTAGTTCACTCGCTCCTTATCTTAATAACTACAAACTAACTCAGTGAATTACGGCTTGCCTCCCAAAGGTAAGTTTCACAAAATTATGCAAATAACTTTTTTCATTTGGCAAGAACTAAATGTATGAGAAATAGCAGTTGCTGAAAGGGTTAGTCAAGGTTAATAGGCCCAAATTTGACCTACATTTTCCTCCATTTTCTGGCAAGTATGTGTAACTCTGTGTATTGAATTTGTTTGGTTTTTCTGAAACAACTGGTTCAGTGCTTTGTTTTAGAAAGATCAGTGTCAATAATCTAGAGCACTAGGGAACCATCTGAAGAATGAGTGGTACATAGGGAAAAAAGAAGAGAAACTCAGGTAAAGAAACATATTAACTGTCAAGATTCAAAGGGGTTATTACAAAAAATAAAAATAGTTCTTAAAATTATGAATAGTGTCATAAAAGAGTTTCTGTAAGTCACAAGCTGTTTGATAGTAAACTGATTAGATTACACAGGACCACTAGTTTCATGTTGAAGGATTTTGCGAAGCAAATCAAAGCCTGCCTAATTTTAGACACTATTTTATTGCTTTCCCCAAATTAAAGGCCATAAAACAAAAATACAAAGTGATCCCTGGAAAGATGTGTCATTATACTTAAACAGCTCTTCTGATTTATTAATTGTATTCTCACAAACCCCAAGTACGAGATGATTCATTATTGGGTGTGAACTGGTATACCTCTTTCAAGGGTAGTAGAGTTAAATCAATTTATATCAGCTGAGAATCTGACCCTATTATAGTTACTTGAGAAATGAAGTGTCAAAATATGAAATATCAGTCTAATGGACAAGTGTGTACAATAATCTTAATGTTTAACACACATGGCAAATGAGACAAAAATGGCAATCTAGGGAGGCTACTATCTTGCAATATGATTCAAGTGCAAACTATGGTGCCCTCACAGAGACCCACCGACCTCACTGAGATTCCAAGCAAATGTATGTGTCCATTAGCATGACACCAGTCACAGGGCTGGGGACTGTACCATATAACAGGTATGATGCAACTTACACAGAAGGGTCAAGTCTGATCATTCATTCAGTAACAGCCCTTACCAAGTTGTGGCCAGAACTGAAAAACCAACCTAAGCTATATGCTTGTCCTGCTAGATAAGATGACTGCAACAAAAAGAGAAAGTGATATATAGGGAAAAATAAAACATATTCCAATATAGAATGATAAGCAATGAAAGCTTTAATAACCTCATCTCATGTTGACATGTATTTATTGCCACTGAAATGTGAACACCTTTTACTAGACTTGTTAAAGCAATGAAGAGTCTGTAGTCTGATGAATATTTACTTTCTTGACAAAACATTATTAACCCATACACAGCACAAAAATAATCTAAGCATGTGCTAGCAAGAAGAGATATCTGGTAAAAACTCTAGAAACTTGACTTTTATTATAACAGCATTTTTACTTCATAATCATATAATAGGCAGGTTTTTTCACGGTCCTTTATAAATCTACTGCAGAGAAAAAAGAAAAGCATTTTTTTAAAGGTATTTACTGCTAATCAGAAAGAAAGCTTCTTATGTAATATCTGTGCTTAGAATTCACATAGTCTTTGTATAGTCCAATGTTACGCTAATTTGGACAAGCACTAACTCAAATGCCAATTAGAAAAAACAGGATACAGAATAATGTAATAAATACATTTTGGGCCTACCTTTAAAATAACAAAGGAGTTTTCAATAGCTTTGTTTCCATCACATTTTGAATCAGGTCCAAATGTGTCATTATTTTTCAAATCCTTATTTTTGACAGTCATCCTCATCATGAGAATCAACTAAATGCCAATTAAAATGTTTTAATCATCGTCTTTTTAACCCTGAAAAATATTCTAACATCAAAAGCAATGGCTATTTGTCTGAGAAAGGACTACAGGATTTGGCTATACATTTGCATTTTTTTTCTATTACATATCCTAGGCACATTTATATCTCATAACTGCCTGTAATGTTCATGGCAAGGTCACCTAGAAAAATCAATTAAGCTGATGAGTCAGATACATTGCTTAACAGTGTGTAATAAGCCTCAAACAGAGGATTACATTGTTCAAGTTATTGCATCATAGTGATGTTATAACTGCAACTCTCAAAGATATGGCAATGAGATTGCTGCCTGGAAAAAGAAACTGATTGCATAAACGTAGTTTGCATAATCATTTGTTAAAAGAATTAATTTAAAATGAGCTAAAGGAGTATTTCTTTCTATGTAAAGGCTTAAACAGGCAAAACAGTGATTAATATATTTTGTAGACTATACATTAATTCTTTCATCTGTAAAAGCAAAGTCTGTGTGTTCCATAATTTTTTGCCCAAGCACAGCTAATACTGTTTCTCCTTAAGATAAGATAAGCTCAGAGGAGGTCGTGTAAGTTCATATTGCTCGTGGGAAGACGGTAAGCTTTTTGACACCTTTCAAATCATTTTCTTAAAAAAAAAAGAAAAAAAAATCAATTCTAACCAGAAACTTGAAACTCTTGAGGGCAAATCCAGGAAGCTGGATATTTTGAAAGCTAGTTAATAGTCCTTTAGAGGATAAGACACGTTAAAAATAGAAACAAGCTAAAAATGGATGTGAAGACAGATAATTCTGAAAAACATTAACAAGTTAACAGTCAAATAAAAGCATCTGTAAGATAGCAACTTTTGCTACAATATTTGCAAGGATTTTAGATGATCCTCAACTATGTTGGCGTGTATTCGGCTAAACCTGCAGTCCTTATTAGGTCAGAATTCTTACTGAAGTCACTAAGCAGAAACAATAACACTGATTCCCTGGACATTTTATAATGTAGGCTTTGAACTGAATTTATTAGGGGGTAAAGTCAATTTGAAATGCTATAACTGGTTTGACAATTTAAGCTGAATGGATGAGAAACAGTCATAGTATATTTTCCAAAAAACAATATATTTATCAATAATTCTGAGGGGACAAATGATCTTTTTTAAGGGAGTCAAATTCAGCACTCAGGCAACAGTAAAGTTAACAGTGTTATCAGGGACACAGAATATTTTAAATTTGTGGTAAGTTATTTCCTGCAGCACTCATATTCAACATGCTACTACCATGGTTAGTGTCCTCGATTTTCAACTCTGGAAGTTCTGATGATGAGAGAACTGATTTTGGCTATTTCTACCTAAAGGATTTGAAGTCATTTAGTAGTAAAGCTAGGACTCCAGTTAAGATAATCCTAGACCTCTCTCTGTGCTGTGTTGGTGGGACCAGCCTGCCTCAAAAGGCAGTTTTGATAACTTGTCTTTGCATCCATGGTAAATCTGCTTAGGGGACTGAAAGTGACCTGGCATCACGACAACTTGGTTTGGTACCAGATGGTTATGTGGGAGGGGGGTTGTTATAATACACTTGAAATCTTGCAATCTAAAACAAAAACATGTATATGTACACATATATACATACACACACACACACACACATATATATATACATACACATATACATATATATACACACATAGATACATATGAGACATCCATAGCTTTTTCTATATGAGAAGACTCTGTGGTAACTAAAGACTGACATCACAAGAGCCAGCTCAGCTTTCACCCAGAGCCAGCTGAATTCAACAGAAAGTGCCTATTAACTTCCGCATGCTTTAGAACAGCTACTGAGCCATGGGGATTTTAAACCAGATGCTGTAAAATCATCATCATCATAACAATTCTTCAGTTGGCACTAACATCTCTTCATCTCCAAGGCCAGGTGGCCACTGGGTTGAAAAGGTGCCTGTGAAAGGTTCACAACCATTAGGCCTAGGAAAGTAAGAGAGGAGACCTGGCAAAAATAACCCCAGTGGCGAAAGAGCTGTTGGTTGTAGCCGTGTTGGTCTACAGATGTGGCTCTAAGGACATAGGCAAGCAAGGTGCTTTGGGTCGATGTGATATCTTTTATATCTGGGTATATAAAAGATGGGATATCTTTTAAATTCTTTGGGTCGATGTGATATCTTATATTGGACCAACTAAATAGCTGGAAAAATTGTTCTTTGCAAGCTTTCGGGCACAAACGCCCTTCTTCAGGCACTGCAGACTCTCCCTACGCCTGAAGAGGTGTGTTTGTGGCCAAAAGCTTGCAAAGAACAATTTTTCCAACTAGTTGGCTGGTCTAATAAAGGCTATCACATCTATCCAAAGAACCTAGTGTGCCAGTGGAGAAAAACACAGAAGCCCTCTCCATGTGTCTGGAGGAACTCCCAGGCAGCCCGAAAAGCCCCAGGCGAAGTAAGGAGCGGGTGCTGGATGCTTCGGAACAAGCGGGGCTCTACTCTCAGAGACACCCCGGGCTGGAGGGAGAGGAGCGGAGGAGCGAGGGAGCTGCCCAGCCAAGGCACAAAGGCTGGTGGCTGGCGGGCGGAGGGGGGATGTGGGAGCGGGCTGGATTGCTCAACAGCCTCCCTTGCCTCCCGGGCTTGCAGAGAGCGGGAGCCTCCCACTCCTTCCCTCCGTGTGGAGCAGCAGCGAGCACACGCGCTACGTGACCGGGGGCGCATCTCTCCCTGCGCCGGGCCCAGCCCGCGGCGCGGAGCACGGCGCCCGCTCCCCAGCCCGGCCCGCCCGCCCCCCCTCCCCCCCCCCCGCCACGGCCGCCGCCCTCGGCCCGGGGCTCCCTCCAGCGCGGCGCGGCGCGCCTCCCCCGATCCCGACCGCACCGGGCACAAACACAACGTGCCCGCGGAACAACCCCCGCCGTGGGGGCCTGGTGCTTGGAAACAGCCTCACTGCCCCTCCCCCCGCCTTGATTTTAGTTTAAAATGAGTCCTGCAGGCTTCGCAATTCAAGGAAAGATGCAAGATAGTAGAGCAGCTGGGGGCCGGCGGCAATGCTCGGCTCCCCTCCCCGAATCAATCTTGCATCCGGGGTGAAATGAAATGAAATGAAATCAGTGTCCCGGGGGCTCCTTGCGAGTGCTGCGCTCGCGCCCCCCCGCGCACGTAATACTGACCTACATCGCTCCGCGCCGCCACACCGCCGCCGCGGGACGCGGCTCCCGTCAGCGCTGCGCCGGACC